TAGGTCATATAGCCAAGGTAACACAGCAGGATAGTGGCAGGATCTGGATTTAGGACTTGGTCCTAGATAACTCCAAATCCCAGGCTCTTTACATTCTACCCTTCTACTCCCCTGCTTAACACTTTGGACCATGGGTGTGTCTTGAACTTTATTGCTCATATGAATCACCTAGTGAGCTTGTTAAAGGGCAGACGTGGATTCCATAGGTCTGAGGTGAAGTCCAAGATTTTGCATTTCTAAGAATTTCCAGGTAATGCTAATGCCATTGGCTAGGCAGTCATTTTATTTTATTTTTTATGTTATTTTATTTTATTATTAATCCTCACCCGAGGATTTTTTCCATTGATTTTCAGAGAGAGAGGAAGGGAGTGGGAGAGAGGGAGAGAAAAACATTGATGTGAGCCCGGCCAGGCGTGGCTCAGCGGTTGAGCATTGACCTAGGATCCAGGCGAATAGGGTTTGATTCCCGGTCAGGGCACATGCCCGGGGTTGCAGGCTTGATCAATGACTCATCATTGATGTTTCTATCTCTCTCTCCCCCTCTCCTTTCCTCTCTCTGAAATCAATAAAGATATATTTAAAAAAAAAAAAAATACCACCTAACAAGGTGGCAAATAATATATAAAAAAAGAAACATTGATGTGAAAGAGACCACATCGATTGGTTACCTCCTGCACAAGCTCCAACCTGGGCCAGGGATTTAACCTGCAACCTAGGTATGTGCCCTTGATTGGGAATCTAACCTGCAACCCTTCGGTGTGCAGGCCGATACTAACCGCTGAGCCAAACCAGAAGGGCTAGGCAGTCATATTTTATTTTTTAAATATGTTTTTGTTGATTTCAGAGAAGGAAGGGAGAGAGAGAGAGAAACATCAATGATGAGAGAGTAGGAGTCATTCGTTGGCTGCCTCCTGCACACTCCTTACTGGGGATCTGTGCCCTGACTGGGAATCCAACTGTGACCTCTTGGTTCCAAGGTGGACACTCAACCACTGAGTCACACTGGCAGGACAGCAGTCATTTTAAATAGCAAGGCTTTCTAATACCTTTACCTGTGTCCTTGTTGGAATGTGAGAATTGGACTTTGAGCAACTAGCTTGAGTGTTATCCTAAATATGGAGAAGGAAAGGGAAATAGTTGTTTGGCTTTGGATGTCTCAGTTATTTAGTAATGGAGCTGGCGCTAGAACCCAGATTTCTGTTTCCAATTCTACATCATGTTTTCTGTCTTCTACATCATTAGGTAAAGTTGTCTTCACTTAAATTTTTCCCAATCTAGCCTTTTGAGTGGTCATACCAATGAGTTGCTGACTTTAAAACCTTTCTGATTTCTTTAATTTATCCTAAGCTTCAGGATTAGCTAAAAATATGACTAAACCTTACACTGAAGGGTATGAGAAAGTCGCCATACTATTTCATTTTATATATTTATAATATAACAAATACAAAGCACTTGCTATGTGCCAGATGTAGTTTTCAGTGCTTTGTAAATACAAGATGGGACAAAAGTAGGTTTACAGTTGTGAGTACGCAAAACAGTTTATTCTTATATTAATTATTGTATTTTCCATACAAACAACTATAAACCTACTTTTGCCCCACCCTGTATTGACTTAATCCTCAGAGCAATCCTTTGAGGTCTGTACTGTTATTGTTCCCATTTTACATCTAAGAACACAGGTACAGAAAGGTTAAGTGACTTGGCTAGGGTCACATAGCCAAGAAGTGTCAGAGAAGTGTAGTAAAAAGAGACTAGCTTTACTCTATAGCTACATAGCCAAGCTCTCCACAAATTAGCATTGCTTTGCAAATTGGAGATCTGGCTAAGAAGTGTTATTGATGGAGATTAGGGACATTTGAGATCAACTCTCTTTATGTTACTCCGGAGTCTCCTAATTAAATGACAAAGATGCTCTCTACAAAGGAAATTAAGACTTTGCTGATGGTGGAAATGGGGTGATATAGTTTAGTTTCAAGTTCTTCTTAACTAATCATTTGCTTAAAATAGCATTCATATAAACAGGTTTGAGAAATGATGAAGCAGCAGTCATGACCCACCTGATTCTCTTAATTGATGTTGCATTCTTACAGCCTTAAGTGATCTTCCACCCTTTTCTTTCTGATTTTCTCTTATTTTTTGTGTTATTTTGTTTTAATCTTAAAAGGAGAGGGCTGCTCATTTATTCTAACAGTTCTCTCTCACAATGGGGAATGTTTTTGTTTTGTTTTATGTTCATATCAGTGGAAGAAAGATTTCCAATCTGAGGGAATTTCCATTTTCATCTTAAGATATGGGCTGTCATTCTATCTGTTGAGCTAATATAGATTTCCCCCCCTAAGATTTAACCTTAAACTATTCTTTTTATAATCCTTCCTCTTGCCAATGAAGCAGCCAGCCATTGTAGAAATTTCAAGGGGTGTAGAAGTGGAAAAATTGTCCATTATGGAGATATTTCAACTTCTTTTCTTCTCTCAGATGATATGTTCCTCTATAGCCTATTTAAAAACACAGTCAGCCTGGCCAGGCGTGGCTCAGCGGTTGAGCATCGACCTAGGATCCAGGAGATCGGGGTTCAATTCCTGGTCAGGGCACATGCCCAGGTTGTGGGCTAGGCAGCCTATCAATGACTCTCATCATTGATGTTTCTATCTCTCTTTCCCCCTCCTTTCCACTCTCTGAAATCAATAAAGATATGTTTTTAAAATTTTTTATTTAATTAAAATAAAAATTAATAAAAACACAGCCAACCACTGCAACAATCAGTGACCCACAATTAAAAGGTCTGCTGCAGGGCTGATGTAGTTGCTGGGAGATGGGGGCCTCTATAATAAGGGATCTGTGGGACCATTGAGCATGGAATAGCTTGAACATGGTTATTAGCTCTGTAGAACAGTAGTTTGAACTTATTCACATGTTTTCTCTTGTCCACTTTTTGGTGACTAGTAAGAATAGGCGAAGTTATTTCTTTAGTGCTGGGTCCAGCTCCCATTTGCCCCCCCTCGTAGGGTGAAGAGGCTAAAGGGCTCTTTGTGCTGTTTATTTCTTGCCCAGATGGTCCTCAGTGAACTAGAGGAGACTCTAAGAAGTTAATGAAAGGAGTTAAGGACAGTTCTGATTAACAAACTGAGGCATTCTCCTTTTGCTTAAGGACAAAATTAGTTTGCCTGTGCCCTCTGAATTTAGCTTTGGGTTGATCCTTTTTTTTTTTATTAGCATTATCTTTATTGTTGAAAGTATTACAGATTTCCCTTTGTTCCCCCATTGATCCTTTCCACCCCTCTCCTGCCTC